TCACACCAAGTTTTATCAGAATTGGTTGAAACTGTAGCTTCAATCCTGCTCACGAACTATTTTTAACAAATTTCGAAGCGTTTTAACAAAGTCAAGGGCAATAACTCAAAAACCATTCATCGCAAATGCGTCAAGTTAGAATTTGTCCGATATCTTATCAATTCCAATGATTATGCCAAGTTTCATCAGAATCGGATGAAAACTGTAGCTTCAATCCTGCTCACGAACTATTTTTAACAAATTTCGACGCGTTTTAACAAAGTCAAGGGCAATAACTCAAAAACCGTTCATCGAAAATGCGTCCGAGATCTTATCAATTCCAATGATCACACCAACTTTCATCAGAATCGGATGAAAACTGTAGCTTCACGAACAATTTTTAACAAATTTCGAGGCGTTCTAAGTCAAGGGCAATATCTCAAAGACCGTTCATCGAAAATATGTCAAATTCGAACTCGACCGAGATCTTATCAATCTAAAGCATCACACCAAGTTTTATCAAAATCAGATAAAAACTGTAGTCTCTATAGTGCTCACAAGAAATGTTGACGGACGGACCGACGAAACGACGGACAGGGGTAACGACAATATACGACCACATATTCATGCGGGCGTATAAAAACGAATGGCAAAATGAAAGTTATACACAATAGATAATTGCGTGAAACGATACACGTAAATGACGTCAATGAAAACTGGTGAAATATGTCATGATGTGTTATCACAAGGAGAGGGAACAGTCATGTAGACGTCAAATTACATTCCACGAATAAGTCCACAAGTCAAGAAAATCAAATTATAGAGAAATGAAATGAGTATAATATCCATACCCAAGCAGTAAATGATTCAATGAAAACAGCAATATATGAATAATAGTATTTACCTCGAACAAGTATATCTTTCATAAATCATCATCGGCCATCTTGAAGGATCTTCTGTATATGCATGTCATGTGATTTGATTTCATGTGCCCTATAATATTGCACGTGGATGAGTGCTTGATATTGTTTGTTTATCCTGTATTTTAAGTTGGTTAATAGTATCAAGCAGTTCAATGAGTTCAAAATTGATTTAGATCTTCGGTGCTGGTGGTTCGAATTCCGCCGCAAAATTTATATCATTTCATGACCCGTATAACTTGTCAGACCTTGTAAATAAAACAATACAACAGTAAACGCTCGCAATAGCCAGTCGAAAAACATATTTTGAAACATGACCATTAGGTGCTGATAAGAAAAATACATGGAAAAGTTAAATGTGAGGATTACGTTGGCAAAATTTCCTTCATTGCACACTGAATGATGCTGTCTGTTTTCTTTAACCTCTCAGATGTGACAATTGAACTACGTTCATGTGTGATGATTGAAGAGTTCTCGACAGTTGGATTCATTTAAATATCGATGGCTTATGTTGCTGTCTTGGATTAGCCCAATTTCACATGGTACATAATGGCCGATCAAAAGTCGTATAATATGTTATTTTCAGTCTGAAACAGTTAAAATGTGAGGGGTCCTGTGAGGGGTTTATAAATTTGAAGGGGGCGAGGGATTCTTAAGGTGGTGCTTGTCATCTACGTGAGCTCTGTATTTCATTTCAAGGATTTCAAAGAGGTTTTGTATCTGTATCGGGGTCACTGAGATCAACGATCTGCATTATTCCACTATGTAAACTGCATGTACAGTTTGCGATTGCAATACTCATCTGGGACAGACCTAAATATGTGTTCATGTCAGATTGTGCGAGCCTTAAAGAGAATGTAAAGAAAAATCTTAGATTTAGTACAGTTAAATCCATGGCAATGCTATATGATAAATATATACTGTTAATGTAACGGAGAATGCCGTCTTATTCTACTCAATTCAAATGTTGCAAGACTGGGCGGGCAATTTTTTATGAATTTACTGTCACCTGACCACACATCGGGGCTTTCTTTTTATATCTGATGAGAAAAGAGTGAGGATGTGGGATCTTAGTACAAATCACACATCAGTTATGAATAACCTGTTTCTTTATTATCTTCATTCACACAATACAATACAATTCACATATTATTTTGAACAATCTTTTCGTTTCTTTCATTTTTTCAGAATTTCAATACAATCTCTCTCTCTTTCTATCTATCTTTAATGACATATCGTTGGTCATATAACCAAGATGTAAGATGAACTGAAAAATATTATATAATATATACAAATCTTTACTTATGACTCTGAACTATAACAGAATTTTTTTTTGGCAACAATCACTGGTTTAAGTTAATGCAACATTTTGTCCTGTTTCTCGCTCAAGCCTGCAGAAATGCTGCATAAAACTTTAAAACTGTTCTATAAAGCTGTGTGTGTATAATTGCTTAAAACCGTATCACCAATATCTTAATTAAAATAAATAAAAATCCCCAAAAAGTTGCCATAGCCTTATACAGCACTTATAATTTTCTACTTTGAGGTATGTTTGAAGGGGTAATTCGAATTTGTATACAATTCTAGTACATTTGAAGACTATTTACATTATATTCAAGGTCGATAAAAACGTTCAAAAATGCCGAATGTGCGATTGTAAATTAATTTCAGGCCAATGCTCTCAGACATCAAAACCTTTCAAAAATGCAAAACATTCAACATCTGTAAAGGTTTAAATATGTTAAAATTACCTAATATCTTAAGATTCAAACTTTTCTCCCACCTCTTAGACCATAAAAACACCATCATCTGAAACCATTCACCATTATCTCCAGTCCAGCAAATATCTACAATAGAATGCAAATAATTTAAATACCATATCTCAAAGCAATCATTTCGGTAAGTCAGGACAGTGGCTTTAGCCCTCTGTTTTTTTGGATTTCAAACTATAAAGGGATCTTCAACTGCACAGCATTAAGCATATCTCCCAACATTTTCAGTGTTCCTAGAAACTATGCAGTTCTATTAAAAATCCCTAATGGCACACTGCAATGCGTTGCTAATTTTGATAAAATTGCGCATAAAAGCACTCCATTGACTTTAATTTCTAGCAATTCGTAAAGTAAATATTTAGATGAAACAGATAAAGTAAAGATACCTGCACTGCATTTGTAGGAGCGACTCCTCTTATGGCCACTCTCTTTATCCATACCAACAGTTACTGAAAAAGATAACCTTGACCCTTGAACTTAATACCATCTTTGACCTCTAGCCTCCACCTTTGACCTCAACAACCTTATTTGGCCTCGTACCCCATTTTAAACCTTTGACCTCATTCACTTTTCATGACCTAACTGCCATTTTTGCCTTATCTTCGGAAGATGAACTAAAACGAAATGAAATATTTCAAAAGCAGAAACACAATCAAAAAGCAAGAATACATTTATTCGTTGATACTTGTGATCTAGGAGTATAGTTAATCTATACTCCAAGGTTGTGACAGAAGGATCAATTAGATGGTTTGGTACCGTTGGTTTAATAGTTGAGAAATTTTCAGTACTGATCGGGTCGAATGACATGGCAACTTGCTTTTGATAACATTAGAGTTACACCTCCTTCATTCTTCTAAACTTCAACATGATCATGATTATTCTTGTTGAATTAAGTCGAATGGTAGTTGTTGGTTTGGTTTGATTTTCCGGTTTAGATTGGGAGATGCAGAAACATCAAACGAAAGCAAAATAGCTGAGTTTCGGAGCTAAAAAGCAGAAAGCCAATCAAAATGTTAGTAGGCCTACTAATGAAAAGGATAACAACTAAGGTTCTCAAGGATCCTACCTTATCAGTTGAACCTCTCGGAATTGATTTTTCCGGATTATCCATACCCATTTAAAGCGGGCCAAATGGAATAATGAGGAAGGGTGATTATTTCAGGTCAAGTAGAAAGCCAATCAAAAGGAACCAATAGAAACACAGAATCAATACAGAAACACATCACTGCAGAAACACAACATCAATGTAGAAACACCAAATCAATGCAGAAACACCAAATCAATGCAGAAACACCAAATCAATGCAGAAACACCAAATCAATGCAGAAACTCAATCTTCTTCCGAGCTCTTCATCTGAAATAATAGAAAAAATTTTAATTAAGCCGTAGCTCAAATCTTTTAGTCCACACAACAGCTTATTCGTTTATGAATTGCGATTTTTAATGAAATACTTCCTCTAAGAATAAGTATTCGATAAATCCATAAAACTAAGTAATTATCCCCAAAATTACAAGTATTTCTTTAACATCTCTTACCATTTTTTGCTTTTGAATAATTACTTATTTTTGATAGGATTATCGGTTTATAAAGGATTATGTTATGACACCAGGTAGTATCCCTTTAAAATCATAACTATGTCATATTTCTCTGATATACAAATGCAAGCAAGGTCACTTTAAATTCAATCCCAAGGGAACCAGATTTCCTGATTTTTGTTTTGGTCAAAAGGTAAAGTAGATACTTATATGACTTTGTTTGAAAATACCGACGGCTTTTCATCTGTAGACATGGTTCTTTTTATTGGACATTCATCTGAGGACCCTCTCTTCATCTGGTCATTTTCTTTTCTTCATTTTTCATCTGTTCTTCATCAGTTCTGTAGGTTTCGCTTCATCTGCACCTCTTCATCTGTGAATAGGTGGATCTGTAGATATTTTATGTAATGTTTTTTGTGACATCTATTGATAAACAAAATTATTATTAATATTCTAATCTGTCTCTGTATATTGAACATATGTCTAACCTCTAATAATTAATTTGGACATAGATCTAACCTATCTCTGATAAGTATATCTGAACAAAGGTGTCATTCTCCCGACAATTCTGTCCATACCCGTTAGGTGAGGATATCTCATTCATATATCACGGCCGAGGAAGGGGAAGAGCCAGCAGGTAAGTTGAAATATTTAGAAGCGTGAGTAAGTCATGTTGAAGAATGACGTCAGTTATTGTCATTTTGAAACAGACAACTATAATAAATAATTATAGTCCATATATATAAAAACCAGATGTACATCCATGGTTGTAAGAGTTCACTCTAAGAATTTTATTTAAATATTTATTTGTTTCGTTGGGAAAAATTGGTTTATGTTGAGCTCTGAAAAAGAAACAACAGTAGAAATAATTATGATATTTGATTAAAAACAAAACTGCTAATTTCAAAATATTATAACTAGGTCAAGGGTGATAACTCAAGAACTGTTTGTCGGCAAATTGAGAATTCGATGTCAAACTCATCCAAGATCTTTTTGATACGCATTTACTTTCTCAATCCTTTTAAACCCATTTCCACCCAAAGCAAAGTAGTTCGTACAAGAGCTAATGTTCAATGAATAAATCGCGAAAGTCTAAACTTAATTGCTTAGTGACTTTTAAGCTCCTCAAGAATAATTAATATAATTTTGTTTGTTGAACCGTTAATGCCACTCTGTTACCAAGGAATCAATTGGGTATATTTTTCGTATAAGTAACAGATATAGCAATAACGTTTAAATTGTCACACTTACAACAATATGGACTGTGGGAGGTGGTTGCCAGATAATAAGACCCTCTGTCATGAGATGAAGAATGATAACCCATTTGAGAACAGCCGTGTCCACAACTACGACAATGTCCAGAACTAAACAGTGATGCAGATGTACATGGCTGGCTGTTAAATTTACAATGAGAGTTGATGGACGAGATGAAGAATTCCACAGCCCTCATATGACTACATGATACACCCCCGGATAATTCTGAAAAAAGGGTTAAAAAAAAAACATACACAAAAAAATCTGAATTTCGGAATTAATGCACGTGAAACTCATAATGGCCGACAACTATTGGGAAATCTCAGGCCTATAAATGATACTTAGGGGTTATGTGAATTCATTCATTACTTGAAATTGGAACCCTGAGAAACACACAGGATATCCTTCTTTTAAGCGTGCATAATATTTATTGAGTAAAAAGAAAGCATTTGAAAAGTAACATACGTGTGATTTTTCCAGTTATCAAATCTAATGCATGATTTCCAATGTGAGGACAACCAGGCTGATTCTTTCCACCATTTGGATAATAATCAGTGTGCCCAATAGCTTTAGCCATACCAAATGCTAAAAGATAACATAATTTAATTGAAACATAGCACCCAAACAATATCATGGAAAATCGTTTTCAAGCATATTTTATGATCCAACAGTTCGATTTCAACCGTAGAAGGATCATCAACCTGCACAGTCCAGTTAAGTTTACAGTTGGAACGACTTCATGTCATGCCTGGTTGGGGAAAATCAGGTTTAAATTGGGAAGGTTTAATCTCACCAAGTTGAAACAAAGTTTCAGCATCAGTATGTATTACATCAACATAGGAAGCATCTGATGGATCTAATCTGGTTTTAATATCAAACTTCTCAAAACATAATCCAGCAGGATCCAATCCGGTTATTCTACCCAGTCCGTGAACTCGTTCTCCAGCATATCCTGCAATATGGGACCCTAGACTGTGCCCAATAATGTGAAATTTTGAATATGGTGTCTGGCCAACTGAATGCACATCTTTGATAAGTTGAGCTGCTACTGCCCCAACTACTCTCGTATTGGCTGCTGCTTGAAAATAGTTAACTTGTGCAGCTCCTGTCTGCCAGTCAACGGCGATAACGTTAGCATCTTCCTGAAACGAGCAAAATTAAATGTCTTTATGTCCTACTGCCCTTGTTTCAAACTTTCTTGAATACTTGTACCCGATAACACTCATTCACGACAACCCTTCAATTGGGGAGCAACAAGGTCCGATGACGCAATCTTCAGATAGAGATTCCTGAGGTACACGCTAAGGGGTTCGCGAGCGGTTACCGGGACAGGACTATGGTCTAAATCTTCTGATTTAAATACCTAATTTTGTATTTCTGTTTTGGTCTGATGTTTGGTGAGACTATTTAGAGAAATAAATACCTTTTTCAGCAGTTCAGCGGTCATAGTTTTAATCCAGTTGGTCTTTCCGTTATCAGTATAACCATGTACGATCAGGAAGGTTTTGGCATGGTGCTTGAAGTGACTTTTCTGAATGCTTCCATGATCGTGTGGTTTCAGGACCTGGGCAGTGTGGGCATTGTGCCTTGTATACAACAGGAACTGGATATTTTGGTGTTCGGGCGAGTCGGGTACGTTGCCTTTAGCGTTGTTATAAGGTTTGGAGTTGGCAAAACAACCATACGAACCATAACATTTCTCTGAGCCAAATAACCATGCTGTAGAAGATATGAGATTATTATGAATACATGTATTTCCACCCACAGAAAGTGCCTAGTTTTACCAAATTATTATAGTCGCACTAAGTCAACTAAGTCAATTAGTATTCCCGACTGGAAGGATTTGTTTGTGAAGTACTTCAAAATCCGTGTGATTGGCAGAAATAAGTAGCTGTCTGAAGACATCAGATGCTAATGAGTCGGTTTTATAAAGATTATCCATAAATTGTAAAAGTATAAATGAAAATCTTACCTTTTGCAGGCAATATTACAACCAAAACAAGGCTTAGCTTGAGTAACATGGTACAGGTTCAAAAGGCGACGATTAACTGCACCTTATCTAAGATTTATGTGATATTTATCCAACCTTTTTTCCTTATCTTCGTGAAATCAAGACAGATTATCTTACGAAACTATTTTACGATAAGCACTATCTTATATACACGTCATAAAAACAAACGTTTTTGCCAAATGAGATATTTTTTACAACAATTTCAACTTGTAAGCAGTTGTTTTTTAGTTTTTTCGGGAATAAGATTGGTTAAAATGGAGGCTATAAGTGTACCCGACACACATACGAAGACACACACACGAAGACACACACAAGGTGTATGATTTGTTGAAAATTTGATTCGGCCAAAGACTAACATTTATATTTGTTGAAAAAAATATTGCTCATCGTACAATGATAATCGAAAAGAAAATTACGATTAAGAAGCACAGTGATCGCACAGCAGTTTCAGTGTTGATTTTATGTTGTTCAGAACAGATCATGATTCGGGTAAAATAATATTACCGTACATTCGAAACAAGTACGCCAGACCCGTGACTATTTCCTCCTAGAGTGTAAGCAGCTCGTGGGTAAAAACAACTGGCAATTGCGAAAATGTGTTCTACCAATTTACTTATTCTTTCAATTATATGTTTAACCTTTGTACAAGGTATGGATAGTTTATGCAAGGACCACCAACAGAAATGAAATTGTCATTTTTGAATCCAATATTGTCAAATATAATTTATATCACCTTCCATATACTACAGAAGAAAAGTAGGACGTAAAACTCCATTCAATTCATTTCATTTCCATACTCTGCTTCTACTGTCTGACTACAGTGAGCTCAGAATTGAATATTCAAAATGTTTTCTTTTTTTTTCATTTTATGCCTTTGTCTTAGAATGTTTTGGAACTGTAAGGTGTGATGATTTTACATTTGGAATAGAACACGTTTCCGTTTTAGAAATTACCCATGAAAATGACTAATACATTGACTGAAAATTCACCTCTGTAAAATAATAAAATAATTCTTTTTTTCATTGGTGAGGATCAAATCATCCAAAAGACCATCTTCGACTCTCAATAATATATTTTTCTTTTTCATAGGGAAGCAAGTCTGCTATAAACCCTTCGGGTGTTTCAGCAATGGTAGACCGTTCAACAACATGCGAAGAAATTTACCCGATTCACCACAGAAACTGGACATCAGATTCTTGTTGTATACAACATCGAACCGGGAGACTTCTGTCGAGCTTCGACCACTGAAGATAAACGAAAAGACCCTCGGATTCAGTCCATTTATTCCAGAATCTAAAACAATTTTTATTATTCATGGGTTTAGTGATCGAGGATCGAGTGACTGGATATTAGAGATGAAAAACGAATTGTTAAAACTGGTAAATCTTTGTGAATCATATTATTTTTTGTATGTTCCATACCACCAAGATAGGAAATCCTTTTGATTTTTAATTACAGTCCTTTAACAGTACCAGTCATTGCTTCCTATTGTAATTGAATGGATGTTTATATGTATTTCTAAGATTAGTTCATAATATATTGGCAAGCACTCTAATACTTTGTGTCAAAGAGTGTTTCAGTAACCTTCAGAGCAAGTGTCACTTTACACACGCCAGGTCAGCTTCGTTTTGAGGTGTAGAAAGTACTTTTTGGCGAATAAATGGTAAAATAAGTTTACAAAAAAATTTGGGTTTTTTTCAGACTGAAACAGTTAATGTTATAGTTGTAGACTGGAGGAAGGGTGCTGCTGTTGGGTATTTAAAGGCTGGAGCAAATACCAGAGTAGTTGGGGCAGTATCCGGGTATTTACTGAAACGTTTACATTACGTTGGTAAAGTGAAATACCCGCAGTTTCACATCATTGGGCACGATCTTGGTGCACAAGTGGCTGGTTATATTGGTGAAGCTATTTCCTGCATACCAAGAATCACTGGTTTGGATCCTAGTGGTTTTGGATTTGAAAATGTTGATAAGAGAGTCAAGTTGGACCCAGAAGACGCTGCTTACGTGGACGTCATTAGAACAAACTGTGGAAGTTTGATTCGTGGAGGTGAGTTAAAGGGTGAAAGGTGCAAGCCAACCAATTAACAAACAATTTATTACACTAGAAGAGTGTGGTCGTTTGAATGAGATCAGAAAAGAACATTTGAAAGTTAACAAATTATCATAAATCGGTGGTATTTTTTAAAGGCCGAATTAATTATGACCAACACGTCAAACTGGTTTATCGCTATTTTCTGGAATATTTGTGAATTCATTTTGTATTTCAGACTTCGGAGGGGAATCGAGGTATCAAGTCGGTACAGTTGATTTTTATGTTAATGGTGGAATCAGTCAGCCAGGGTGTTCCAAAAATAGACTTAACTTTAGAAGGGACATACTGAAAGGAAACTTAGAGGGTAGGTTTGGGAAATATTTTATGGGCCTACCCGCTATCTTGATTAAGAGTAACGTATTTTAAGACATGGACAATGATTCAGCAGCAGGATAGAAGAATGGCGCGAAACACATTTTCATTTCTAATTCGTCATCAGTGAATATCACAGGCAAGTGAAATGTGAAAACGCACAAAACAAAATATAATTTTATCTGTATCCATGACACACCAAATTACATAGGCTGTACTGTTAAGATTTCTACATGTTATTTCAGACATAACCAAAGTAGCATGTAGCCATATGAGGGCTGTAGAATACTTTACCAGTTCTATAACAAAATGTAACTATCAAGCACACGTGTGTCCTGAAGGGCCGAGAGTTGACATTATAATGGGCTACCACTCTATCCCAGGAGAGCACGGCAAGTTTTGTGTGGAAACTGAGGATACCGAACCATTCTGTGTAAGTCATTGGAATCATTACAGACAATTTTCAATAATTTGATTCGGTCGGTCCGACATATCTTCTCTAAATTTGATTCTGTCGTTCCTGGATCTTTAAAAATAAGGAAAAATATGTCAAATTCCACTTCTAAAATTCTTCATCACCTGAAAAAATCGTTAACATGCCACGAAAAATGTTTTTTCTTTTGAATTTTGAGTGTCCTTTGATATTTTCTGATGTTTTATTTCAGGGCAAAGTTTCAAAACGTAGTGAGATCGAGAAATATTTTAGTTTCAAGAAGCATTAAAATTTACCAGATAATGTTTGATTGTACCTAAACTAATATCGTCCATTATTGCATCCCCCATACCCCCACCCACCCCCCTTAAAAAAAATACCCCAAAATTATGATCCAATGTTTCAATTTTTTATTTCATTTTTAATACAGCATGATTCATATAAAGCCAACTTAAAGCATATGTATTGCATTTTTAGCATATTTCACCATTCATATAATATATCTAATTACCATTCACACCTTCATATTTACATTGAGAAACATACATACAAACTAACCATGAATATTATGGACATAATGTGGCATGAGTGGATTTATACAATTATCCTTACAAGAAGGATTGAGACCATTATACAAAGTCCTTCACATTAGCAATTTCAATCAATGGGATAAAGTCTTATTTTCTTCTGTTTATTATTGGAATTTTGATTATTTGTTTCATCTTAAATTACCAATACGGTGTGATTAAATTTCAAATAGAATATCTGACTGAAAAGGGTGGGGGGGGGGGGGAGTTACCTTCAATAAGATAATATGCAAGATAAAGAAAAAAAAATAATTAACATTAAAAGCAACCTAACAAATGTTTTAAAGCTTGAGTTTAAATTAAAAACAAACTCACAAAAGTTTAAAGCTAGAGTAAGAATTAAAAGCAACACATATTTAAACATTGAGTTTTTTTTTTTTTTAAATTGAACTGATTTCTAAGAAAACACAACCTGTCATGGGTTTTTAAGCAATGTTTGCAACTCAATTCTAACTTTAAACTGAATTTTGAAACCTACCTCTTAATTAAAAAAAACACCTAGCACAAGTTATAGTAATCTAACAAATAAGTTAAAACCTAGTATAACTTTTATACCTTAAATGGACATGTAACAATCAATTAAAAATCTAACTTGACTTTTAGACCTCATATGAACATGTTACAAATTTTTAGGCCTTATATGAACATGTAACAATTAATTAAAAATCTAAATTGACTTTAAGACCTTATATGAACATGTAACAATTAATCAAAAATCTAACTTGACTTTTAGACCTCATATGAACATGTTACAAATTTTTAGACCTTATATGAACATGTAACAATTAATTAAAAATCTAACATGACTTTTAGATTTTAATCATACATATATAACAAAGTAATAATCTAAAATTTAATACAAAAAGATTAAAATTAAAAAAAAAACCAACAGCTTCCGGATGAATATTTACACCTGTCATATTATTAGATGAAATTACCTTGAGGTTAGAACGGTTTAAACAGCATCTGTATTATTGGGGTCACTTTGAGGTAAATGTGAATTCACAATATCAAAATATAAAATAAAAAATATTGATAATGTCAGTTAATAAAACTATTTGTGCAAAAACAAAGTGCAACATGATTACAAAATGTTTGAAAACCAATTTTAAAAGTTTGTTTTTATGTGTTTGCTTTAAAATATGGTGCCCCTGTTTTGTCTTGTAAGACTGTGTGTGCTAGATATCTTCTTAACATTCATATTTTATGGTTTTTATCATTAAGGGCAATCCATTTTATAATTCTTTAGTAAAGTTTATACTCACAACCCTGTGTCTTATTATCAGTCAAACAGATGTTAATTAATTTTAATGAAGTTTTTCCAAAAATTTTCATATTATGACAAAACCACTTTCCACAAGGCACTAAATTTGTAAATAGCAGCAAATTATATTATTGCTTTTCTCTCAAATTTGTAGTTCGTACTAAAAATACAAACATATTTTTTCGCTTAAACTTCAAATGACTTAACAAAAATATAACCTTAACAAATAAACAGCTCTATATAATACAGTTATCTGAAACACTGTACATTACATTCAGTAATGAAACATGACTTGACTTAAAAATTGGTTACCTAATTCTTTGATTTCGTATGGAGAAAATCATATGTACAACTACATACTAAGTAAACATTTTGATAAGTCTTTCAGGGTTTGTTGGAAGTTTTTCTAGCTTTTTTATGTTGAGAAATGGGCTTTAAGCTTGATTTTATTTTAGAAATTCCAAATTCTCATAGTTCACTAAGTTAGGCCTACAATTGTTCTTAACCAACATAAGAATGTTATAAAACACTCAACCCTTAAGTATAAATAAATCACCGGGAGTGAGAGAGAACAATGTCTCAGGTCAGATCTTATCTTAATCTAAGAAAACTAAGATGAATTCTGTAGTTTGATTCAATAAAGCATTTCAGTAAGAAAATTAAATTTAAAATCAATTTGAGTGGAAAAACCAGATGATGGAAAATTTGGGATGAAGAAACTGGCAGTAGGTCTAGATACATTTTTTTTCCATTGTGACTTCACATGTGGAAATTTCTAAGTCTCTAAAATATTCAACAAATCATAAAAATATACATAAAATATGAAAATGAATACATAATACAAAATTGAGTGGGCATTTTTATCAGATGTATATAGTCGAACAAAAAAATGAAATTGTGCACATCCAAATATTATATCTACTCTCTGACTACACTGATTTTTGAATTGAATTTGGTAATAATTTTCATATATATACGTCCAAAAAGTACTTCTTTTTCACATGAATTTTCTTGAAGGTATGTGTGTCTATGTAAAATCACTGAATCTTATATTTCTATATACCCAAATACTTTCCAAGACAAATGGCATAAAATAGAAAATTTTATTTGGATTATTTATGAAATGAGAGAAAAAATTCAATTCAAAAGCTCAATGTAGTCAGAGAGTAGGTAGAATAATTAGAACTTAAAAAAAATATATTGTGTTCATTATTACTACCAGTAATTATTCTTCATAAAACTTAAAGCATTACGTGTATGTTTTTATGTTTGAATCAGATCTAGATCTGTACAAATGTTTGCTTGACTAAAGAAGGAATATATTGAACTGAAAGAACTCATACAAAACCCTTGATATGTTGGTAAAGAAAGCTTGCGTTGCAAGGTAACATACGCCCACTGGCAGCTGTCAGAAAAAATAAAACAGTCTTTAGTGACTAAAGCGAATTTTCTCATATTGAAGAAATTATTCATGCTGAGTAATTCCACAAAATTTTTTAAAATCAATATCAATAACCCAAATACAACAAACAATTAAATCACACAGCTCTAATCAAGGGCAAAAAAACAACTTCACATATTCATGTGGGCGTATAAAAATAATGACAACCATAGCTTATAACACAATTTATCACTCAACTTCCGTCTAACAAAGATATGATTGCACATGGTCTCTTTCAAATCATAAACAAGAGCATTCTATTTGATTTAAGATAGAATAAATAGTATCCTACCTCCTAATAAAATGAGTTGTTTGTGTTGATTTTTTGAATCACACCGAGATGTGCATGAATATCTTTGTATGACTCAGGCTGGTATGATTTTGACTAGAATTACTTTTCTCTGATATAATCTAAATAAATCTATATGACCAACGTCATAACCTAGAATAGTGCAAATTGATCAGTGTCCCCTATACAGTTTTACAAAAGTAGAAAACCTCTTTAAAATCCCTTTAAGTTTGTTTTTGGGTATGATATAGATTTATCTAGATTCTGTTTAACATTACCAGAAAATAACGTATCGTTTTTTTTAGCAGCAGACACAACCACTGAGCGCAAATTATATTACTTTCAAAGTTTGTGCTAAAAAAATTTTTGAGACCAGCAATGTCTTTTTATATATAAAAACCATGATAACAAAACAAATTTAAAAATATTTGAATATTACTCAAATATACCAACATAAAAAACAAATAGTATATACACATACATTCAAAAAAACACTATTTCAGAGTTTCGAAGGGCTGCAACAATTTAGATCGTTATTTACTATTCGGTGTCAAATTCAAACAAGAATTAATGTAATGAATTTTCAAAAACGAAAAACACTACGAAAAACATAATTTGGAAATCAAAACCTGCTTCTATAAGTATATGTTATTATTTAATTTCGTTGTAAGGACAAAATAAACTCTGAGATTTGGTGTCAGAAACGTCATTATATTGTAATTATTATCATCATAATCTTAAGCTACCTGTCAAGATATATGATAAAAAAAACCAACAATTTTTATGACATTTATGACAAGAAGGAACTGTCAATATTGATGCAATATAAAACAAATATCATTATACCTTTTTGTCAAAAATATCATAACATTTATCTTAAAATTATAATTTTAAGATATCTGACATGATGAAATATAAAAACAAACAATATTATTATATTTCCTTCTTGTCAGAAACATCATAACACTTGTCTTTATAATATTATAATTTTAAGATATCTGTCAAGATGAAATATATAAACAAACAATATTATTATATTTCCTTCTTGTCAGAAACATCATAACAGTTGTCTTTATAATATTATAATTTTGATATATCTGTCAAGATGAAATATAAAAACAAACAATATTATATTTCCTTCTTGTCAGAAACATCATAACAATTGTCTTTATAATATTATAATTTTGATATATCTGTCAAGATGAAATATAAAAACAAACAATATTATATTTCCTTCTTGTCAGAAACATCATAACAATTGTCTATATAATATTATAATTTTGATATATCTGTCAAGATGAAATATATAAACAAACAATATTATGATATTTCCTTCTTGTCAGAAACATCATAACAATTGTCTATATAATGTTATAATTTTAAGATATCTGTCAAGATAACAAACAACATTATGATATTCATGATAAGTTCCTAAATGTCATTTTTTCCTCATGAATTAATGCAGCCCTTCAATATCTTATAAAAATATAGATTAAATATGTTATTTTGACTTTGTTTTTTGGGATTGTAGCATGTGGATGAAAGCGTGGGTGATTTCTAAATGTCATGAAAATCTATTAATATGGAATTCTATGCCTGTATTGTACTTTTGGCAAATTTGAAGTCTTAATATGTGTATCAGGGACACATACACCTTCTATTTGCACCATTTTAATTTCCTCTTAGAAGTCTGATTCTTGTTCCCCAAATAAATTGAGTATAACATCACACGTACTATTTGGTTAAAATAGTAACTTTGAACGTCATAATCTATCTTTAAGTCTGCTTGAAATTACAGGAACCACAGACAAAATAAGGGAATCAAAATAGTGCAAACAGAAGCAATAAGTCACCCATGCATACGCAAAGGTTTAAAATTTTTGGAATCTCTTTTTTCAGCAACAGTGTGAACAGAGTCTTATTACCTCTGATATCATCTTTGGTCAAATGGAACTAGATTTTAAATGAAAACACACAAGTACAAAACAAATGAACAGTAATAAATGTACACCAGGCATTTTTTGTTATTGGACATGAATATAGTCCTGATTTCATTGAAAACATTGTCTTTTCTGTGTTATTTTCACTGAAAGCTTACTTTCAAATGTCAATTCAGTGCATTGTTTTGTATGGATTTCAGAGATCCTTATATAATTTTCAAATGATATGAGATATATTAAGTTAAATTTAAATCAAATTTCAGATGTATTTTGGCGCATTTTATTGACAATTTAATAATGATTTCGAAGTTTAAAAATTACACCGCTAAGGTTCCATGAAAATATTTGCTTTTCAAGGTGATAGAGTTCAATTTCAGCTATCTGTAACACTTTTCAAAATCAAAATCTTACTAGACTCTCCAACAATTCAAAACAAATAATGTGTTAGTTTTAACAAAGGTCGTAGTTTTTACCAATTAATGTGAATTAGTCTAATTTAGTGCCAGAGAAACCTGAATTGAGCCCTTTTACCCACAGAAAGCAAATATTTAACCAACCATATCCCTTTAATGTATTTGATGCTAGCAGGACGATGTATGAGGCAATCTATATACATGTCTATTTAACAAGCCATTTCTATTACTTTCATTACTAGATTTACTGCTTTCCTTACTGTCGGCATGGTTACAGTTATTTTGTCTATCAGTAATACGATGTCCATCACTATTCAGTTCTTCTAACATAACACATTCACAAGGCTCTGAATTATTCAAATGTAACACACTAGAACGTGGCTGATTGTGCAGCCGGTCGGTATGATGTTCTATAAATGGTATAGTTGATTCGTCATGAGTATCATATTCAACAGAATCATCTAAATCTTGAGGATATGCTATAGCTTCCAGATTGTCTAAATTACACGCAGGTTCTTCCTCAATATATACAAGTTCCCGTCCATCTTTTGTATTTTCGTCACTAAAGAAGTACGATACATCTTTAAAACTGGGATCTAAATTTGGTATAATCATTTCTATAATTTCTTTAAATGTCGGTCGTTCTTTATGTTTATATCTCCAACAACATTTCATTATTTCATACCTAAATAGAGACATTAGCATAGGATTAGTTACATGGTACAAAATCAGTTAGTGAGAGAATTAAAACATGTACTTTTTTAAGACAGTAAGTACTACTTTGCACAGTTCTTTCATTATTTGTACTTACTCAAAGTACTTATGCTTGATATAAAGTTATATGTACTTTCTTGCACTTCATCTGACTTCATGTACTTGATTTCAATATGGAAATGTAGTTTCTATGTACTTTGTACATCAAAACTTGTACCTACATGTACATATACTTCAAGTACACTTTTTAAACTCCTTTACTTAAAATTATATACTTCATATATTTGACATTATGTTACAACATGTACTTTCTAAATCCAAGTACTTAACATCTTTATAACTTGTACTTTCTTATAATCTTACATCTTATACATGTAACATTATGTTACAACATGTACTTTCTTACATTGGTACTTAATCCTCATACTTGAGCTCAACTTAAGGCATTACAATCATCAAATTACAATACAGGACTTTCTACATATTTTTTATTTCATGTACATGACATACAATAATGTACTGTACTCTGTGTACATGATGATAAGATATCAAAAGTTTTAAAGTTCTTTTTTGTGTACTTTACATTATAAGTTCTGAAAGACATTTTCTATACTTGCACTTAATCTATTTTCAGGTACTTCAGGACATGACATCAAGTTATAATACATTTATATGTCTTTGTATGTATTAATTTGGGAGAATGAGAGAGGACTATGTCAGCATGTAAATTTGTCCAGTCATGTTTTACATGGGAAGTGAACAAAACCAAGATCAATCAGTCTGTTACAACATCACTGACCAAAATGAAGTTACATGATAGCTAATTTCTCTTCCATTTTGCTTTCACATTTTGTGCAATGAAAACATTTTAGAGATGTCTTATTTACATGCGCAAACAAAATCTATTTATAAATGGTATGAAAGGGCTCTAGGCTAAAATCATTCAAAAAGATAAATGGTTTTTCATGTTCCAAATATTTGTACAAAAGTGTCATAACTCAAGAAACCATTTTCTAAGTTAATGAATCAGAATAGAATAGTAGTTATTTAAACCCACCCTTTTTTATTTGATTGACACATTTGGCCCCATCTTTAGCATTTTCTGCTTAGTAAAGTTCATCCAAAATGTTTATAGCTTGTGCATATAGTGAGTGCATATGCTCAGAAAAGTGAGAACAGTGCCAGAATCTTTACTAGAAGACTTACAATTGATCGGGACATCCTTCTGGTTTATCCATAATATTACCATTTACAACATATTTTAATACTCCTTCATTTGAAAGACCTTGATAGGGTTGTGCTGCTAATGTAGCCATTTCCCATAAAACAACACCCAGCGACCTGTGTGAAGGAAAAAATCATCATTTCACTATATGCTGACACATCCTAAGCAAAACCAATGTCAAAAGACAAACTGGTGAAGCATAGTACAACAATATAGCATACTTCTCAGAATGAAGGGATTCCAGAAGTTTGGGTAGCAAACACAAGCTTACCATAACTTGCATTCCAAGGTAACTGCTGCCAACTCTAATGAAATAGATAATAGTCACACAAAACATTTTTCAAGCTTTCTTTATTTGGAAAATGAACTCTGAACTCAAGATTCCTTTGCTAAGCTTCTCTCTTCTAACCTCAAAGTTGACGAAGCAGTGACTAATCTCAAAAAAAAAAAAAATGTCTTACCAAACATCTGACATGGTTGAAAATAAACCATCTTTTAAAGATTCTGGTGCCATCCATCTGACAGGTAGCAGTCCTCTGCCAGCTTTTTTATAATAATCTGTTTCATAAATATCTCTAGTCATACCAAAATCTACAACAAAATGGAATGGAATGGAGTTTTTCATCTACCTTTTTGGCATCTGATTATCTTTTTAACTTTATCAGTACTGCATTAAAACCGATTCAATCTAAATGAAGTATACCTCCTATTTTGACAACATTATTTTCTGAAACCATACAGTTTCTGGCTGCTAAATCTCGATGTACAAATTTTTTATCTGCCAAATACGCCATACCATCTGCTATCTCTCCTACCATCTGTAAAATATCTTTTATAGTAGGTGGAGGACTATTGTCTGGTTCCTGAAAAAATAAAATGCTTCAGTATTCAATTTTGATATTGTTTAGTACATATTCTTACAATATGCTTTTCAACTATTAAAATAACCCTTTCAATACAAGTAGTACTCTACCAGACATATAATTATGTTATGTACACCCAAACAGTCAGTGAAGTGACTATTGCCATGTGACATGACATGACATATTACTTCAGTATTTCAGGGTAAAGATGGGTTCCCTTAATTTCATTTATGAAAATGCTAATAATTATATGAATAGAAAGTAGAGGTGTTCTAAATACCAGTAGCAGAATTCCAATGAGTGACCAATCAAGAAAGGTCAAAAAGTCTTTTTTGTTTATCCAGACTGTACATACATGGACATTTACGATTGGTTAATCATATGCAAAAAGAACATAATGATATGATAATTCATTAACAAAAACAGATTAATCAAATAGTTTGCTTAATTTGACACATTTAAAAAAAATAAGGAAACCCATCTTTAAGTATAATTCTTTGGCAATGCCTTCACAAAGCAATCTTTGAGTATTTCAAAATGGCATAATCAATTAATGTACATATTAAGCAGATCAAATGGATTTGGGTGAAATGGCCTAATGCATAATTTCATTTGATTTTGAGATCTAGATTATATACTATATAATTGCTAATATAATGCTCACCCCTTCTTATCCTCAATTAAGTCTGGAAAATCTCGATCACATCAAAAATCATGACATTAAATTTTGGTTATTATTCATAATTTTCAATAGTTGATTGATAGCTATATAAGACTACTTACCTCAGTATCTGGTCTGTGGGAATGTAAATATTTTCTTAAATCTCCTTTTGTCATTAGTTCCATGATAACTAATGCTGGTTGTCCTATAGATACAACTCCTAATAATCTAACTACATGATAACATTTAAACTCCCTGCAATTATCAGACAAAAATACAATACATAATATCATACTCTTCAATATATCTACCAGAAACTAAGTCTGTTTAGACCCCTGGTTCCCAACTTGTGTTTTCATCCCCTAGGGGTGTGGGACTAGGGTGTCCGGGTGTGGCCAACTGGTGTAGGAGTTGAGAGAGCACCTCACTAATAACATGCTGGAAATATGGATGAAACAAATTTTGGGGGTGTGAAAAGTCCAAGTGATTGCTACAAGGGCGAAGGTTGGGAACCACTGGTTTAGATCTATATTCAATAAACTTATTAGAGACAGATTAGATGTACTTACTTCATTGTAGAAGCTTCTTTTAAAAATATCATTTTATCATAAAAACCAGCATCTTCATTTACAGTCTATCAGAAGAAAAAATCTTTTATTATTATGATAATTTGGAATTTAAAGCAATAGGCTCAATGTACAAAAATTAATGATTTAAGAAGATGGAGCACCTGTAAGGGACATTTAAAAATACATTTAAAAGAGCACATTAACTATCCCGTCGACCAATTATACCTTAGTTTCAGAAACAGGAATTTTTTTAGCTTACATAAACAGTAATAGTGTTCACAGCTCATCGTCGAAATTTGAGCCTTCAAATCCATGTGTATCCATAATTATTCTTATTTGAAAGTTAAAATTTCACTCGAAGTTTTAGTGAGACTATGCCATAGAAGGAAAACACATCTAAAGGAACAGACAGTGAAATTTCTAATTTGAGGTATATTTGAAGGGATTATGCGATTTTTGTGTGTTTTAGTACTTCTTAAGACTATTAATGCACAATAAAGACCCAAATCAATCCCGGAAAATGCCGACTGTTCTCCTTTAAATTCAGCTACCTGAACAAGATGGCAGCTTGAGTCTTGCTTTTAGTCATTTAGTATAACTGAGGTATATTTCACCCTATAGCACACAGGGCCTCGATATACCTCTTAAGCTCATAATACTGTTTGTTTTAGACATGCATTTTAATTACCTTTACAGCAACTCTTATGGGTTCTTTTTGTGATGGTAAAATGCCTTTGGCAAAACCTTCCCATACCATTCCAAATGATCCTTTCCCTAACCTTTTATCCAATAATTCAATTTTATCTCGTTCTATCTCCCATTCATCAGGTGTATAAACTGTAATATATTCAATATGAAATTTGGGCACTGTAAATGACCACAAGGTAAATAGGTCACAGTAAAATGACCACAAGGTAAATGGATTACAGTAAAATGACCACAAGGTAAATGGATTACAGTAAAATGACCACAAGGTAAATGGATTAAAGTAAAATGACCACAAGGTAAATAGATTACAGTAAAATGACCACAAGGTAAATAGATTACAGTAAAATGACCACAAGGTAAATGGATCACAGTAATATGGTCACAAGGTAAATGGTTTACAGTAAAATGACCACAAGGTAAATGGATCACAGTAATATGGTCACAAGGTAAATGGTTTACAGTAAAATGACCACAAGGTAAATGGATTACAGTAAAATGACCACAAGGTAAATGGATTACAGTAAAATGACCACAAGGCAAATGGATAACAGTAAAATGACCACAAGGTAAATGGATTACAGTAAAATAACCACGAGGTAAATGGATACAGTAAAATGACCACAAGGCAAATGGATTACAGTAAAATGACCACAAGGTAAATGGATTACAGTAAAATAACCACGAGGTAAATGGATACAGTAAAATGACCACAAGGTAATGGATTACAGTAAAATGGCCACAAGGTAAATGGATCACACTAAAATGACCACAAGGGATTACAGTAAAATGGTCACAAGGTAAATAGGTCACATTAAAATGGTCACAAGGTAAAAAAATATAAGTAATTTGAGCACATGGACTAGATGTTTTTTCTTTGACAGCTCCTCCTACCTATTTAATCACTGATAGCAGGATTGTGGTTGATAGAAGGCACTTTTTGGACATAATCAGAGATAAAGCTCAAGACACTTCTAGATTAGCAAGCAAGCATCTGGCTTTTTGAGCCACCAATGCAAGATATTCAGACAAATAGATCAAGATTACAATTCTTATAACTTACTATCTGATGTTTGCATATAACCTGGATTTATAGAAATTGTAGTTGGTTCTTGTTTCCGCAAAAATCTATAACAACAAAAATATCGAAGGCTTACTTGAGGGGCTCAATAAAAACTGTGAAAAGCCAATGAAACTTTGTAAAGAATTAGAGAAGAGTTTAATTCGTAGAATTTCAACTTTAATAAAAGCTCATCTCTTACTGCCAACAAATTCAGGAAAATATCCTATACCTTTATAGGTTTCTTTTTCAGTTCTTATAATAATAACTTCTAGATTTACATACGTGCAACAATTCTACTTAAAGTTTCTATTGCTCTTGACAAATCAGTGGAAAATATTCTTAAAAGGGTAGAATTCGAGTTAAGTTCTAAAAATTTAACTATTTGAGTACATACTTCCTTTTGGCAACATTAACAACAACAACTAAGATAATAATAAACACCACAACTCCAATTATTAGACCAGCAATAGTTCCTTGTAAAATATCTGAATCTAAACAAAAGAAATGTTTTATCCAATTACAAAAATACATGTATTCTTATAATAATTTATATTTGACCACAGTGATTTCTGAATTGAAATTTAACAAATCAATACAAATATTGTTCTGCTGTTCACAAATACTGGTTGTAACAAAACCTACATTTTCCTCCCAGAATTTGCCATTTTTACAATGTCAAGCTGTTAAGAACCTGTCTTATACCTTGACTGTAATAGCCACCTAGTGAAAAAATACACAGTTTATACAGAGAAATTTCCATTCATAAAAGCAACTCCCCCCGCATACAATATACAGGCTTAATGTGACTGGAAAATCACAGGGTAGGGGCATTAACATATTCCTGCTTGAAATGATGTATTATGGGTAGCCTAATTAAGAAAAGATTCACATGTAAATTTAATCAAAATATGTCTATGTAAGAAAGAAGACTTACCTGGAGGTGAATTGATATGAAAGTACATTTCAGGTGTCCAAGTACCAGGTCCAGCTAAAGATGTAGCTCTAATTCTAAAAGAATGATTTCCATGACCAGTAACAGTTAAAACGTAACCCATGTTTTCACGATATTGTGAATGAGTTAGGCATGGTTTCCTTACTTTTCCCTACAAAAGAGAATCAAAATGGAATTGTCTGTTTTCAGACAACCTAGGTGGATTTTGTAAGCTAGACAATCGTAAAGGGTTTGTGCAGAGGTTTTCCAAATTTTTTTTAATGCGTATTGGAGAAACTGATACAATTTGCATCATCCCAATTTTCCCGTTTCTGAGACTTAAGTACAATTGGTCCATCGGATGGCAAACCTGTCCTTTATAAATTAAAGCTTCATTTTGCTAAATTTTTAACACATTTTTCAGCTGATGATTGTATTATAAATAGTATTATTGTGAATATTGTGCTCAAGCAAGTATAACGTGCACCCTTACCATCCAATAAATCTGGTAATTGTGTTCTGTTAATAATTAAACAGTACTTACATGATAATCATGGACTGGTTTGTATTCTATTTCAAAACAAACTATTAAACCATTTGGATCACTAGGTGAATCCCAAGTTATATTAACTTTCCCTGAATCATTTACTGATACTCGTATAGTACTGTGTTCAATTCTGTCAGCTGTGGCTAAAAATAAGGATAGCCGGTATATTGAAAGAGATTGTAATTACAGATAGCTTCAGAATTAAGTTGGCTTTCTGGGTGGTATAATAATTATAATTGCAAACCACAGGGCAAATGAGAAGTACATAAATATTATAATTAAAGGAACAGTAAAGAGGTTTTCTAAATTTTGTATGTGTATCAGGGACACTGATAGCATCAATTTGCACCATTCCAATTTTCGAACAGACATCTGTGGTTCCAGCAATCCCAATCAAATTAAGTGACGTCACTAATCAAGATACTCAGTATAATGATTTGTTTAAGAAAACTACTCAGTATAATGATTTGTTTAAGAACACTGCTCAGTATAATGATTTGTTTAAGAACACTACTCAGTAATCAATATCATTAATTAATAACAAGTATCTTTACTTACGAGATTTCAAGGTTCTTTTAAAAGCTAGGGCTATATTAGATTTATCACTGCAATATTTTTCACCATTCTCTAATGTATCTTGACAAGCCAAGACCTGCAAAAAAAGCTTCATTAAAAATATGTATTATTGGTAAAAAAGTTTAATTCTTGGCATCGATTTGAAACAAGAAATTGCAAGTATATTTTGCAGATGCAAGATTCCTGATACAGTACATAAGACTGAAAACTAATGCTTCAGGCACACGAACCTTCTTGATAGGTGATTTTTGTCAAGAGTTTCACTGATGGACTGGACCAAAAATCTCAACAATCAACAATATCGATAATCATGTTTGGATCATGTAATTGAAAAAAGGAAAAATTTGATATCTGATTGGATGATGACGCACAGTCTTGCAGATGATAAATCAATCAGCAACAAATACCAACTGGCTTGATATAAAAGATCCTGTTAGAAAAGCGCTAATCTTGTCATGGAAGTGCATGCAAACTTGAGATTTGCGTCCAAGACAATAAATCAGCCAAAAAGATGGTTTGTGTGCCCACAGTGATTGGCTAAGCTGTCCTGGCAAAAATGAAATATAATGACAATATGTATATTTACCTTGATATTGTAAGGTTGAAAGTGACCTAAGTTGGTTAAAGTAATATTGGTGCCATTCACTATTGCTAACATAGCGATATAGTCACTATCATCAGAATCACTACAATCATTGCATGTCACATTGTCACTATCCGTTTCATTTTCTACATCAATATTTCCAGGACTTTCAAAGGGGAAAAACCCACTAGTTCCCACAATATATTTGGATGTGTCTATTGACAATGGTTTGTTCACATTTGATCTGTTGGATTTCAGTAATGGAGGATTAAATAAATGTTTTGATAATGATATGTTTCCGTATGTAATATTCAGCACTTCTCCTAATTTTTTTATATCAAATGACAGAGCCTTCTTACTGCAAGAAAATAAAACATATTTTACATAGACATCTTACTGGAGATATCGTCAGCCCAAAGTCAGAAAGACTATTTCCAAAATCGCCACTTTGTGAAAAAGGGAATGTAAACAATCTCCATTGCAAGCAGAAACATCATTGAATGTTTTGGTTATCAGATTTTCTGATTTTATAGGAACGATACAAATTTTAATCTTGTATGGTGATTTTGGACATCTCCTTGACACTGTCAATTCGGGATGTAACTATTCATTCATAGATTGATGTATTATAAATTGTAAGGCAATGATTGGCTACTTGACACATTGTGAAGACCCGGGCCAAGACCAAGAACTCATAAAAAAGAGATACCAAAGATTTATTATCCCCCAAGATGGACATAGTCACTTCTGACTTTGGGCCCACGATATGATGACTTGGCAACTTACTAACCTACTGCTTAGTAACTGACCTAGAGGTCAAGATTCTATTCCTTTGGCCAAAAAATGTTTCCAAGTGGAGAATAAGTCTGAAAATTGGTGACATTTAAGAAACTCCTCAAGAGAGCTTGAAAGTACAGCTACACTTCCGGAGAAACTACATATACCTGTTGCAAAGTTAGTTTTCATATTTTTCAAACAATTTCAATGTTGATTTCACTGATGGCTGACATTTACTGATAGTTCAAAAATTCCATTTATTGAATAAGATTTATCATTTGTGCAACTTACTTCTTCACATACACCAAATCTTTTATGGCATTTTCAAATTTCAAACGACTTTGTACATTTTTTTTCAACTGTTCAACATCTTTCATGAATTTAGGACAAGTACAGCAACCATCTTTATTAGGTTTAACTTGTAGTTCCTCTTCTTCTTCTTCTTTCTTTTCATCTTTTGTTGGTTTATCTAACACTATTTCTAAAAATATAAATGAAATGAATGGAGTTTACATCCTACTTTCCTGGACCTAATGAGCTAATAAAAATGGGCAACACCATACAGTGTGCAATGAGGGAAATGTTTCTGCACCTAATGAGCTAATGAACACGGGCAGCACCATTCATTGTGCAATAAGTGAAATGTTTCTGCACCTAATGAGCTAATGAACACGGGCAGCACCATACATTGTGTAATGAGGGCAATGTTTCTGCACCTAATAAGCTAATGAAAATGGGCAGCACCATGCAGTGTGCAATGAGTGAAATGTTTCTGCACCTAATGAGCTAATGAACATGGGTAGCACCATGCAGTGTACAATGAGGCCAATGTTTCTGCACCTATTGAAAAAATGAAGATGAGCAACTCCATGCAGTGTGCAATGGGAGCAATTTTGGCTGGACAGCTGCATAATTTTCATAATTACTTCATGGCACAATGTGAATAACCTCACAGAGACTTTTAATATGACCAATTTTTTTTTAAATTGTAGTTGAATTGGGTGTGGTATATTCTTTCTGTAAAATGATTTGGACAGCTCTATCAGAAGGAGGAACATATATCTAAATGACCATATGCATTGAAATAATGGTAATAGAAATAATAACTTACTTTCAAGACAGTAATTTCGCTCATCAAACTCCTCTCGGTTTAATTTGCCCTGCTTCCAGTAAACTTTATAATGAGTAATATCTCCATTAGGTTTCAATGGTTTATCCCAACTAACAAACAATTCATTTTCATTTTCCGCTTTCACTTCCAGATTTGTTGGGGCAGAAGGCTCTGATAAATACAAATAATCTTTAAGGTGATATGTCTCAGTTAAAGATGGGTTCCCTTATTTTCATTTATTTATAAATTTATACATATTCGATTATCAATTGAAAGTAGAGGTGTTCTAATTTTCTGACCGATGACCTCGATAGGAATTGCAGGAACCATAGACGTCTGTTTGAAAATTGGAATGGTGCAAATTGTACTCGATATGATCAGTGTCCTTGATACACATAAAAATCTTAAAATCCTCTTTTCATTTCTTTGATTTTAAAAAAAATCATGTGTGACTTAATGGAATTAACAATAAAATTTTACTCAAAAATGATCAACTTACGTGCTGACAAAGTTTTGACAAATATAATGTTAGATATTGCTGATTTTTTGGACTTGAAAGTCAAAGTTTTAACATAAGCAGCGTACATTGTCCATGGTGTTAAGTTGTGTATTAAACCAACCATTTCTTTATCTGTATTGTTTCTATTGGCATCCCAGTCATTTTTCTTCCATCTACAATCATAATTAGTCAGCTAATCAAATAAACACAAAGTTCAAAGCTCTGTTTTTCATATATATTTTTATTTCCAGGAGATATGCTCCTATATTTTTCAGCTCACCGTTGAAATTTGAGCCTTTAAATCCATGTGTGTCAAGACTTATTTTTAGATATTTATAAGATGACTTGTCTTTCTTGAGACTATACATGAAAAAGTCTTATGTAGACATAGAAATTTTTTTTTTTTTTGAAGGAATTATGTAATTTTCGTACATTTCTAGCACTTCTGAAGATTTTATACATACATTCAAGACCAAAATCAACCTTCAAAAATAGCGAACCTATCCCTTAAACTTCTACAACAAGATTTTCTTGAATTGCATTATTCCAACATATATAATATAAAACTTACTGTGACTGAGAACAAGCATCTTGACCTTGAAATATATCTACTTGTTTTGATGTACTGAAATAAAAGATTAATCAAGTAGAACTGTGTATATGTAAAATGGCGTGAGACATAAGAGCATAGCATAGCATTCTCCAATTTACTTTCCTACTACCGAAGAACGAAGAACAATGGTATTGCTAAGTCAGTAACATGTTGGATTAGCAATAAGGTGCCGTAAGTTCAAATCCTAGGCATGGAAAACTTGTGCAACATGCTCATTCCCTACTTCTATATGGGATAAACAGCAACAGTTTACTATGGCAGTCTATGGCCAACTATGGAAAAGGATGAGATTCCAAGAGTCAATCCAGCTTTTGCTTCAAACTCTTTCCATGTATATTTTGAATGAGAAAAGTATTTCAACAAAAAATATACTTACACTTCCCTGTAATATAAAACATAACCTATCAACATTCTGTCGTCTGTTAAATTATACTTGTTCCAATTCAACAGCACATAGTCAGAATTCACATCTGATACAGTTAGATTTATTTTAGTAATATTACCTGAAAAAATATAAAGAAAAAACAAGTTTGAGAACTCTCAACTAGGCAACACATCAAAGAGTAACCAGTTAAAAAAACGAGTCAGCATTTCTTACCGCATCGCTCCTAAAAATAAGATAAATTTATTTTCACATCTTGCTTTTCTAACTCCCAATTTCACTTATAAAGAAAGAAAATACTATGCAGTGCTCAATGAAGGACATTTTCCAGCATCTTTTTTTCCATTTCCAACTGCTCAGCATGCATTCAGTCATTAGTTTCATTTTCAATAGAATCAATTTTGCAAAGTGAGTAGACCAGATTATTTTAAAATTTTTTACTTTACTCACACACCCTAAAGGGACAGATGCATGATTTGGTGGGTTGATTTGAATCTGATATATATGTAAATATTCTTCAGAAATACTAGAAATGTACATAAAATCACAGAATTCCTTCAAAAATATCTCAAATAAAGGAATTTCTTTTCCTATTTCTATAGATGTCTTTTCTATATATGGCAGTGTCTCAAAAAAGGCGACTCATCTTTTTTACTTTCAATGCAAATAATTCTGGATAACATGGATTAGGAGGCTCGAATTTCGACAGTGAACTGTGAACACTATTACTGATTGGATTAGCTAAAAAAAATTCACGTTTCTGCAAATTAAGTATGATTGGTCAAAAAAATGGCAATTGTCCCTTTAAGTATATTGGAAAGGTAACCTCTGGCAATTTTGTTGAGGAATTTGTGTTTGAAACACCATTCAGCAGTATGAGCAGAGCTCTTATCAATTAAAAAAAAAACTAAAATGATATATGATGATTTTTCAAGAACAATCTAAAACTTACATGGTATAAGATCTCCATTGGTACTGACATCATTTTCATTCAAAGTTCTATTATACACTGTATTCCATAGATTCACATCACTCAAAAATTCACGGATTTTATGTTCACACAATTTACGATTAAAATGAAATTTGACTCTCTTGTTATTCAAAATTTTTAAATTTTTGGCCACTTCTGGTAAAAATAATTCTTCTAAATTTTGATTATCCATTACAATTAAACCATATCTAAAAAATCAGAAATATACAGGTTTAGTAAATTGAATATAATTTTAAGCTTTTACTTTTACATCATATTTTTCTGTTTCAGTTTGTGCAAGGACAATATCATCAGCTCAACATGCATTGGTGAAAAGAGGAAACTAGGTTGAGATTGAACCCTGGACCTAAAGAGTTTCTGTTATTCCAAGAAATTTTGAACAGAGTATGATGTGGCGATCTCAAATACCATCCAAGCCATAGTGTGGTAAAGTTTTCTAGAACCCAAACACAACAAACAATTCAGATAGCTGTACATACAGTGCTTATAAATACCAGAAAAGCTTACTTTCGATTCTCTTTTGCATTTTCATCATCTGTTTCACTATCACGATCCATCCCAACTTTACCATGAATTACTTTTAAATTTTTGAAGAAATGAAGAGATACTAAAGGATAAGAACGGACTATTTTGATGTGATATTCCACTTCCTCTATTGCACGAAAACTTTTTTCAAATTCCAAACCAATATCACCTGCAAAATTAAAGCAAAAATTACCAATTTTCATTATGTTATATTTCATTTACAGATTACCAGTGTCATCAATGATAATAAAGGTGCAGGCACAGGAGTGGTCTTGGTCAGAGATATTTGTTGCCAATTAATCAGCAACAAAAGTCTCTGACCAAGATTGTTTGTGTGTCAGCACCCCAAAACAAAACTTCAATCCAGACAATAATCAGTTTAGCAAGTATGATCTTTAAAAATGTGTTATCTCCCTTAGATAATCTTAGATTTGAACGGCATTAAGAAGCGAAGAGCACAAACAACACAATTTACACATGTTGTCATCAGATGAAATGAAGAAGAAGGAAAAGCATGAGGCTATATAGCAAGGGGGGAGGGGGGGGGGGGGGGGGGATTTAGAAATTAGACTGACAGAGTCTGGTGTGTGAAATTAAAATTTTAGTCAAGCAAGTTCATGTCTGTTTTTTTAAACAACAAATAATTTCATATCTTTTTGACAGATAATATTTAATTATAAGAGATACAAATTAAGGTATTTCATAAAATACAATTTCAGAAATGACATCATTGGAATATCAATAACATCAAATTTAAAAATAAAGTGGATAGCTCAGTTATACATTTTGCATTGCAAATATCAGTGCTAAACTACATATAGTATATTAATCAAAAGTCATTGATAATTGAGGCTATACATCATCTTGACAAATGTAATGGAATACCTTCTAGTCAAATTAATGTCTTGCCATTGTAATGACAAGTATTGTTGATGTATTCCTTTTATACTCTTAATTAAATAATGAATGATGAGCCCATTGCAAAAACAGTGATATGAATACTTGTGTTCAGATGCCAAGATGACAACCTTTTAGTTGGGATGTTTATGGATACACAAATATGGCAACTTTTGACACTGTTGGACAAATGCAACTGTAGATGACTTTGGGAAGAATTTCGTCAAAAATTCAAAATGGAAAAAAAGGCATTTTAATCTGATTGCTTCTTTTTGTATATAATTATTATATAAACTCAAAAACTTTTTCTGACTAAATACAGCAAAGTGGAGCCGAGACGATTTCAGCTAAATACAAACGTTCAGTTATAATGGTTACACCCACAAGTCAATTAAAATCGATATCTGTCATGATGTACAAGATCAAATACTCTGACATGAATTTTAACAGGAAAATCTGTCTGGAAAATCATGATTTTTAGCACGGATACATGTAAATTGATAATCACCAATTTAAGATGGTGTTGTATGTCCTACTTTCTGCTCATAATTTGGCTACTGCAGACATGACATGACTTTGGCATGACAATTCCTACAAATTGCACGAATGACAGGGGGAGACCTCTTTGCCTTAACCTCTTAACATGGTGACCCAACTTGGCTCCTAAAGCTTGAAGCTTCCTTGCTTTTGATTTCTCAGAAACACAGTAGGACAAATGAAATCCTCTCAGATCTAAATTGCTAGACTAATGAGATGTATCTAGGAGATAAGTAAACACTTACTGCCCCCATCTATCTGTATAATTATTTGACCAGCTATATATGTACAACCAGTTAATTCAGCTGCAGCACTTATACTATCAATCTTCTTGTTAATACGACAAACTGGAAATAGAAAACTGGCATTAAAGACAGTATTATAACATATCAAATCAGATACTGCATGGGACACAGGGACTTTGAAGAATATCTGCCAGCTTTGTTTAGCTTTGTTTAGCTTTGTAAAGACACTGAAATTTATGCCAGATTTTGCTTTTGTCCTGGAAATGAAATGAAATGAATTTTTATGTCCTTTTTTCTGAAATACAAGATTTACAAAACTGAAATGTCAAAACCTGTATTTTCATACAAATGTCAATGTCATTTAAGTTATAATTTATTCCCACGTGTCTGAGTTTCCATATTGGGATTTTTTCCAACCACTTATTACAACTATAATATAAATATTGAAAAATATAATAACTAAATCACTTGCTGATTATTACACTTCGTAACAACATATTTCCACAAATTTGGTTGTCATGAGTCAAAATTCCAAAACCATTCACTGAATCTTTCTTAAGGCTAAAAATTTACTAGTATAAGTAAATGGATTCTATTTTTGTTAAGTGTTACAGGTAGTTCTGAGGCTGTACCAGCTCAAGAAGAGAAAATTTAGATGAAAATATTTCTTCATAAGAAATTTTTTTTCAATTGTTGACCGCTATCAAGTTTTGGTCAACATTCAGTGCGACATATTGTGCTCAATTACATAATAAAGCTAATATTTAGACAACCATATCCATTTAAATTTTTCTTCAATTGCTGACTACCATGTTAAAAGATTTGTTCGATATATTCACCACCCTCCACAATACACTAATAATATAAGCTAATATTTAGACAACCTAATGCCTTATGACTTCTATACATTTCACTTGCTGACTATCATGTTAAAAGAATTACTTTTCGTTAATCCATAAAAGACAATAAAGCAAAAATTTAGACAACCATATCCCTTTAAAATTGATTTTCAACTGCTGACAGTCACCCCGACCCTACCACAATACACTACATCAACTAATAGAGCTTATTTTAGACAATTATATACCTTTAAAATTGATTTTCAATTGCTGACAGTCACCCCGACCCTACCACAATACACTACATCAACTAATAAAATTTTAGACGAACATATACCTTTAAAATTGTTTTCAACTGCTGACATTCACCCTGACCCTACCACAATACACTACATCAACTGATGTATATTTAGACGATCATATACCTTTAAAATTGATTTTCAATTGCTGACAGTCATCCCGACCCTACCACAATACACTACATCAACTAATGTATATTTAGGCGATCATATACCTTTAAAATTGATTTTCAATTGCTGACTACCATGTTAAAAGAATTGTTCAACAATCACCTCAATCCTACCACACATATCAGATAAAAGATTTGATACCATAACAGATATACAGCTTCTCTTTCGTGCAATAATAGAATCTGTACACTAGACCAAGAAGATTTTTATGTTACAAGTTAAACTAAGGTTTCCTTTAAGAGAAGGAAATTGCTTGGTTTCTTTCTTACAACATTGAGTGCTCTGGTATAATTCGTGCCCTGTTGATTGTTGGAGTTTCAATAAGCTTGACAGTATTGTCTCATCAAACTTTTAATTCATTTTCTACAAAAACAATATTTTCAATATCTTTCACTTAATAACTTTTGATCAAAACCCACGCTGGCATGAACTGATAACAGAGTCTGGTAAAAGCTTATATTTGACCACTCTAATTACTAATTATGCAGATCTAGATTGTTTTTTTTGTTTCATGTTTTTGCTAAGGGTTAATACACATGATCTTGGCAAATTAAATCATGTTAAGTCAGCTTTGTACCAGCATGGGCCATAATTTTTTAAGAATTTATTCTAACCAATCATAAACATTGTAAAATATTGGATAACAAAAACCCTACTTCATTTCAAGTATACATTAAGGTTTTTCATTGGTCAAATATCCTTGTGACAAACCAGACACAAAATTTTCATTTTGCAAAATGATACAGGAGTTCGAGCAATGGGAAGAAGCAAATATATATTTCTGTGAATTCCAGAGCTTTTCAATTTCAAATATTTTGGTGGGTTTTAACCCTAAAAAAGGTTTGCCAAACTGGGGAGGCCCATAATAAACATCTCCACTCATTAGAAACTAATACATGTTTGTAAATTCAACCAAGAAATTAAGAATCACTTGAGATGACTTGGGAGATGTTAATTTCTGAGAATTGACTTGTTTTCTGCCTACTTACATCAAGTTTATTAGATTTTCATAATTTTTAGCAGATAATGTCATCACTTCAAACTTGTTGAATAGAAAAATGTTGGGAGATCCTAAATGAGTGAAGTGCCTACAGAATAAAACAATGGATTGTGTTGATCAACAGTATTGTGAAAATCTTTGTACATCTAAAATAGTGAGGCAAATATCCAGATTTTATTAAAGAAAATATATCTTGCTTACTTTTTGGGCATTTCCCTAAGCATTTTTGACAGTAATCACCACTTTTACTGATGGTATAATTTTCAGGGCAGTCTGGTACACATTCCCTCCTAATGGTTGTATTGTATGCATCTACTACATCTAATGTTAAATAATGTGTATGTCGATTTTCTGAAAGCTTTTCTTTTTTATGTTGATTACATTGTTCTTTTGTTACACAGCGTCTTGATTTTAACTGAAATAAACAAAAAATGTCAATATGTAGATGGCGAACTGCACACAAAAATAATATTGCTTATGAAAGGGCTTCTTCGCAGGGTCAAGCTATTACGCACTACATCTAATACCTTAACATCAAGAAGCACATTTTTTGTAGCATAGAAGTTTGTAAATGCAGTGATTTCTAGAAGTCTAGACCAATCAGCCACATTGTTTACAGTTTTTTTTTCAGGGGCTCTGATTGGCTTTATTCGCTAGTGTACAATCCCATCAAATCACTGCATTCTGTGCTACAATAAAAGTGGCTATTGTGTCAAGGTATAAGACAGTTCGTACCAACTTGACATTGTGAAAATTATAAAAGGGAATATCATCACTATTCATTTCCAAGACAAGGGCAATAACTCTGGGGGCTCAGCACTCAGTGTGTTAAATGCCTGTTTGCTAAACCTGAAAGCCCATTTTCAATATCCAAATAAGGAGCGAAAAGTTTAAAATGTTATCAATGCCAACTAAACAGATTCAGCCACTATAAAAACTCAAAAGAGATACTGAACAGTCAGATGTTTATCTGATTTGAATAAGATTGCATCTTAACAAGCAATGCAGAAGTGGAGATTGCACACAGAGATTTGAATAGGTTTTCATCTCGACAGAATGTGACAAGTTGAAAATGTGTGATAAATGGAAAAACATTGATTTGACAGAAATACAATATGAATATCAGGTGAATAATGACATTGTAGGTTTGATTGAGCTAAATATAAACTAACCAACGTCATATTTCTAAAACTGATTGGCAGCTAAGAGCTTAATTGATATGTCCAATAGACAACTAAAGACTAGAGACAAACAAAAGTGTTTTACCTATGAAGCAAAAAGAAAAACTCAAATAACAGAATCTGCGACAAGGATTCATGAATTAGCAAACACAGCCAAAGACCTGCTTCTCATGCGACAGTCGCCACAATGTTTAGTCCCTCAATTCTTATTTCAGAAAACTTATCTCTAGTTTCTAGATATATTTTCAGATACTTCAGTATTAAATGTCCAGCACATTGCAAAAATAAAATTGACCTGTTCTAAAGTCTCAGATATATGAATTTTATTTCATATATTTTCTGTGGGTGGGTTACTTCATGTATGGTTGCGATAATAATGTGATTAACACATAAAATAAATTGAATTAATTGAGGTAATATTTTCCTTTGGTTATCAAAGATGAAGAGAAAATATAGTACCATTAGACACACAATTACATATTATGATCCTAATTCCCTTTTCAGTCCTGTCTTAAAACCTTCTTCATCATTAGATTGTTTAAGTATTTGAGGTAATGAATTCCAGAGTAAACTATCCTTGTATTTGAATGTTCTTTTCATGGCCTCAATCCGGCACTTGGGAAGATGTAATGAGTTTTTTGTTTCCGAACGTAGACAAAGAATTGTTATAGAAATTGAAGATTGTAACTGAAAATAATTTTGAAAGTAGTGAGGACATTTTCCATTCATAATTTTGTAAGTCAGTATCCCAGTGTTATATTTAATTCGTTGTTCAAGAGTTAGCCAATTTAATTTTACTGTTGACGTTTCAAGCTATTTATAGCACCATCACCACCAACCACTCTCCAGCTAATCAATTTTACAAATGAGTATCGGCAATTTCATAGTGCCTGCAATTACTTAATAAAAAATCTAGATCTTTTTTAAATATCTAGATTTTTAATTTGCAACCCTGATATCATAATCTGGTCCAGTATGTCTTTAATCACAGAAACCACAAAAAGAGGTGAGAAATCAGAATGGTCCAAATAGAATCTTTAAAGATGGGTTCCCATTTATGAAAATGAAAATGCTTTTACTTATTATAAATAGAAAGTAGAGGTGTTCTAATGACTTGTAAAAATACCAGTTTGTCTCACATGTCCCAAATTAATTCATGATTAGCTAGATTAGAATCAAGGAAGGTCAAAAAGTCTTTTTTTTTGTTTATCCAGACTGTGCATACATGGACATTTATGATTAGTTAAAAATCTTAATTATATGCAATAAGAACATAATGATAGGATTACGAACACATGATAATTCATAAGAAACTCCAATTAATCAAATAGTTTGCTTAATTTGACACAAAAAAATAAGGAAACCCATCTTTAAGTGTCTTAAACCTCTGGCACATTAAGTTCATACATCTAGGAATTCTTTGACGACAGATTACTGTTTTAAACTGAGTATTTAATAAGGAAGTTGAATGTACTCTGGGAATAGGAAATTAAATTCTGTCCTTCATTAGATTAGGACTAAATAAAATGACAGTCTATTCAGTCTAAGGAAAAAATTCTTCCGCTACACAATCTCAACAAATCTCTATTCTATTTTCTATTCACACATATTTACCAGTTCAATTACCCCCCCCAAAAAAATGAAATTTCAAACGACCATCACCAATTTTGATTTAACTTAGCAGAACTGATCAAAAGGTGAAATTCCAAATTTCATCCAAATTGGGTCAGTGGTCATGGAGATATGACTTATTTGACAAATTTGGCTTCCTGCCCAAACTTCAAATGGGCGTAGCTGGTGGTAAGGGGCTGTAATTGGTGTTGTTGGTAAAGGAAAAATGCCATAGATGCACATAGATCAGATCCACATCTAAATGTTAAGGAGTGATTATTCTTTTCAGTGACCTTTGACATGGGACATCTGGCCTTGACCTGACCTCAAAAATCAGTGATGGTAGGGTTAACCCTTTTGGGTGAACTGACCTGGAATGACCTCATGGTCAAATTTTATAATAGGAAGATTATGTTTAGCCCCTACACCAGACAGGTATTAGGCTTTCCTTCTCGGCCTGGACCAGGCCGCAATAAAATGTGCCCATTTCTCCACAAGTCACCTTGATGTAATCGAAAGACATCTAGATGTAATCAACAATTTTACTGAATAATGACGAAATTCTGCGTGAAAAGGTGAATGTCGCTTGACAAGCATGCACAGTAAAGCGTTCTCGGAACAGTTACCGTTTACATTACATCAATTTATCAAATCCGTTCTGAGAACCATTCTGATACAAAAATTGGGCCAGAATTAGAATGGTTCTGGGAACAGATAAATTTTCTAACGTAAAAGGGGTTTTGGAATCTGTACTTACCATGTATGTATTGTATGGACAATCTTTTATACATTTATCATTGTGTATAAAATATTTACAAGATATACAATCATTTTTAGTTGGTCCTGTACATCCACCGATACAATATGTATGGCAACACTGTCTTGTATCTGTTATACAGTAATCACATTCACAATCTGAAAATAGAAATAATATAAAAAAAAATAATGCTTGGAAATACAGCTTACTGTAAAATAATTACATTTATTAACTGAAATTAAATACATATGTCCTAGATAGAAGTCACTATAAAAATTACATTTACAAACTGAAATTTTAATTAACATAACAAATAATGTTGAAAATTACTTTTTACTGAAAAATAATAATATTTACAAACATAAATTAAATATAATACATGATTGAGAATAATATTTACTGAAAATTATATTTCAATTCTAATTAACATCAAAATATTGTAAATTACTTTTACTGTCAAATATTACATTATATTACATTTACTATCTGAAATTGAAAATAACACAAGTTTGTAAATTATGTTTACTGTACAAGGATTCATTTACAATCTGAATTGAAAAATACATGTTTGTAAATGATGCATTTCCTGTAAAAAAATAATGAAGTAATCTAAAATTTGATATAGCATTACAAAAGATGATTGTAAATAATTCATACTGTACCAATAAACATTTACAATCTAAAATTAGATTTAGCATAACAAAGAATGTTTGTAAATGATATTTACTTTACATATATACATTAACAAGTGGTTGCCTAGCAAGATACGCCCACTTAACTGATACATTTTAGTATATCAAGGGCAGTCACCTATCTGTGTCAAATCTTACCAAAAATCAAATTTGTTTAAGATATTGTTGATTTAAACAAACACACATTATTTAATAAAATTCTGACATAAACTGTCACCTTTATCTAACAAATTTTGATACGTTTTAACTAAGTCAATGGGCAATAACTCAAATTCCGTCGATCGAAAAAATGTCAAATTCAATCTTGACTAAGATTTCATCATTATAAATGATCATACCAAATTTCATTTTAATCGGATGAAAACTGTACTCTCTATTGTGTTCACAAACAAATTTTGACGAGTTTGTCCAGGGCAATAACTCAAAAACCGTTCATCAAAAGATAGCCAAATTCGAACTTGTCCAAGATCTCATCATCATAAATATTAACTTATAAACTTAGGAAGTCAAAATTCAACCACAAAAAGTCTACAGATTTCTTGACACCATTTTGAGCTTACAATACAGTATCCCTTTAAAGTGAAGCCTTTATAGCTATGATCAAAAAGCTTAACAGAAAAATAAATTTCAAATAAATATACAATAAAAAGGCAAAGATATGCCATAAAAGTAGAATATAAGATTTTCTAAGATTGCAGGTAGAACCTGTTTGGCTGAAATAAAATAACAATTTGATATCATGTTTGTCCTGCATGATGAATAAAACATAACAATGATACAAGTTTTAACGTTTGCTTGATGAAAAAAAAACGTAAGAAATATAGCTTTGATTGTTTTCCCAAAAGATATTCATTGTCTTAAATCATAATTTGAATTCAAAATCTGTTTATTTCTGAATGGCTATTTATATTAATAGAATCTAGGCAATTGCCTTAACATTTTCATTCATGTAATAATATGAGCTATGTTATTGAGAAATGTATGAATTTTCATTTCATAAATAGGTGGAAGCCATGCCAAGTCCTTAAGAAGTTGACATGAATAGTTTGTAAAGTACAAAGGCTCTCGAATTGATATAAACAAACTTAAATGGCCTAATTGATTGGACTAGTTAATTGTTGATTTTCTTATAAATGACCATATGTGTCCAAGTTGTTGTCCTTTATTCAGATTTTGATTAGAGTCATTATGGTAGAAGATATCTAATGACCATTGTAGCAGATGTGTCCATTTCAGTCTTTCACATAATTAATAAATTTGATAAGTCCTTCTACCAATAATCATTATTAATCAGCACACATGCTAGACCCGTTGTTAGGGTGGGATTGGCAGGGGCTTGGCCCAAGCAAGTGACAAGCATTTTTACACACATATTATATTAATATATTGTATACATGTATGGTGAAGTTAAGGTATTTGTTGTACACAAATGATATCTCTCTAAATAATATAACACAGTATGTATCATTATCAATAATATAACACAGTATGTAATAATATATCATTATCAATAATATAACACAGTATGAAATAATATGATATCATTACCAATAATATATCACAGTATGTAATAATAATATGATATCATTATCAATAATGTAACACAATATGTAATAATAACATGATATCATTATCAATAATACAACACAGTATGTAATAATAATATATCTCTCTAAATAATATATCACAGTATGTATCATTATCAATAATATATCACAGTATGTAATAATATATCATTATCAATAATATATCACAGTATGTAATAATATATCATTATCAATAATATAACACAGTATGTAACACAATATGTAATAATAACATGATATCATTATCAATAATACAACACAGTATGTAATAATAATATATCTCTCTAAATAATATATCACAGTATGTATCATTATCAATAATATATCACAGTATGTAATAATATATCATTATCAATAATATAACACAGTATGTAATAATAAAATGATATCATTATCAATAATATAACACAGTATGTAATAATAACATGATATCATTATCAATAATACAACACAGTATGTAATAATAATATATCTCTCTAAATAATATATCATAGTATGTATCATTATCAACAATATAACACAGTATGTAATAATATAATGATATCATTATCAATAATATAACACAGTATGTAATAATAACATGATATCATTATCAATAATACAACACAGTATATAATAATAATATATCTCTCTAAATAATATATCACAGTATGTAATAATAATATATCATTATCAATAATGTAACACAATATGTAATAATAACATGATATCATTATCAATAATACAACATAGTATGTAACAATAATATATCTCTCTAAATAATATATCACAGTATGTATCATTATCAATAATATAACACAGTATGTAATAATAACATGATATCATTATCAATAATATAACACAGTATGTAATAATAACATGATATCATTATCAATAATACAACACAGTATGTAATAATAATATGTCTCTCTAAATAATATATCACAGTATGTATCATTATCAATAATATATCACAGTATGTAATAATAGCATGATATCATTATCAATAATACAACACAGTATGTAATAATAATATATCTCTCTAAATAATATATCACAGTAATAATAATATGATATCTTATCAATAATGTAACACAATATGTAATAATAACATGATATCATTATCAATAATAAAACACAGTATGTAATAATAATATATCTCTCTAAATAATATATCACAGTATGTAATAATAATATGATATCATTATCAATGATGTAACACAATATGTAATAATAACATGATATCATTATCAATAATATAACACAGTATGTAATAATAACATGATATCATTATCAATAATATAACACAGTATGTAATAATAACATGATATCATTATCAATAATACAACACAGTATGTAATAATAATATATCTCTCTAAATAATATATCACAGTATGTATCATTATCAATAATATATCACAGTATGTAATAATAACATGATATCATTATCAATAATACAACACAGTATGTAATAATAATATATCTCTCTAAATAATATATCACAGTAATAATAATATGATATCTTATCAATAATGTAACACAATATGTAATAATAACATGATATCATTATCAATAATAAAACACAGTATGTAATAATAATATATCTCTCTAAATAATATATCACAGTATGTAATAATAATATGATATCATTATCAATGATGTAACACAATATGTAATAATAACATGATATCATTATCAATAATATAACACAGTATGTAATAATAACATGATATCATAT